TTTCTCAACTCTGTTGAAGGCATCACAGCAGTATGTGACAGTGACAGAGAAAAAATAGCAGCTATTATGGTATCTGCTCCTCAGTCGGTACTCGCACGCGGCCGAACGCGGCGTCTGAGCGATACCATACGGCACAGTGTTTCCTGGCACATCACTCCTCAGCAACACACACACACACACAAAGACAGAACTCAAACCTTCAGCACCAATACTGCTCCTTCTGCTAGGATTTTTGCTATTTCATGAGCAGGGAGTGCTCCCAGGAGCCACATCTCCACGACGTGGTGTCGATAGGTGTTGGGTTGTCAGCACCAAGTCAGCTATGTTTTCAAAGGGTTTTAAGAGTACCCATCAGCCTTCATTACCACAGGCAGTTTCTCAAGATTATAATTTTATATAGAATAAGGTCATAAAATGACTTTACACAATATTTTGAAGGTGACAGTTGAAAAATCAAGGCCTAGGAGTGATGATATGTAGCTTTCGACTCTGCTTCTCCCCCTGTGCGTCCTGGGAAAGGCAGTTCCCCTTCTGTGTTATCAGCTATACTAGTAAACATTAAATTATTTCATCTTCCAAACTGATAGAAGACCAGTCACATCCCTTTGTATTCAACCTTGGTCACAGAATGGCAGCTTAGCAGTCAAACTGTTAGCTCAGGAGTCAAACTACGCAGTCAAATGATGTACTATGACACCAAAATAAACAACTATCTGTGCCAGCCCAGGAGGGTTTTGTACATACTCCCCAAAAGGAGAAAAGCACCATCCTTAAGGACTTTATACTCCATAAAACTGCACACAAAAATAGCCAGACTGGCTTATAACAGAGGTTACCCATAGTGTCCAGGTGAGTAATGGAATCACAGAATCATAGAAATTAAGGGTTGGAAAGGACCTTAGAGATGATCCAGCCCCAAGCCCTGCCCTGGGCAGGGACACCTCCCAGCAGAGCAGGTTGCTCAAGGCTCATCCAACCTGGCTGTGAACACTGCCAGGGTTGGGGCAGCCACAGCCTCCCTGGGCAACCTGGGACAGTGTCTCAACACCCTCACTGGAAAAAAGGTTTTTTTCACCTTCAATCTAAACTTCCCCTCTTTCAGTTTGAACCCATTTCCCCTTGTCCTGTCCCTGCAGTTCCTAACACAGAGTCCCTCTCTGGCTCCTTGTAGCCCCTTCAGAGAGTGAAAAGTTGCTCTGAGGTCTCCACACAACCTTCTCTTCTCCAGGCTGAACAGCCCCAGCTCCCTCAGCCTGTGCTCACAGGGAGATGCTCCAGTGCTCTCAGCAACTTCGTGGCCTCCTCTGGGAGAGAGTTTGAGCTCTGCACCTCCTTTAGTTGTGGCAGCACTATATATATCACAAATGGTTAAAGTATTTTCTTTTTTAAGCAGAAAAAATAATGAAAGTAAAAAAAACCCCACTTACAATTTGCCTGCCAACTGGTTTGGGTTGTTGTTCTCTTCCCAATGCCTAATGAAGGTCATTTATTTAGTGCTTTTGAAACAGGTATTTTCATTATGAATGGAACACTTCAAACTGCAAAGTGAAATGTCAACTCTTTGGTATTTCTGTGGCACAATTCAGGTGCAGCTGTTGCACTGGGGACAGCTCTAAGTGACATGAGCTGCACCTAGATGAGTGCTATTTCTGAGCATGCCTTTAAATAAATAATTGAGAAGGGAACAGAGAGAGAGGAGAACAGAGCAGGCTCCCAATAACAGCATGTCATGTTGATAGATAAGACTGACAAGTCCAAATACAACTCGGAGTTTCATCAACAAAGATGTTCTTCAGTGCAAACATTAACAGCAATGGGGAAGAGCCAAACGAAGCAGCAGAAACAAACAGCTAAAAGGGATGTGGTGGAAGGATCCTCAGCTCATGCTGAGGTACTGAAGTTTATCTCCACAGCCAAACCCACACAGTTTGCTGTAATCACATTGAAAATTCCAACTGGATCAATAGCTTTGTGTTTTCATCACAGCCCTATAAGATGTTCCTCAGCACTGTGGAGTATCTGCCTGCAAACCCAAAATTCTCCTCAAGCTTCTGTCAGAGGCAAGAGAAAGGATTCCAGAAGATTTCCTTTCTAGATGAGGATGGGTGACAGGATCTGTCCCAGAGTTACTGAGGCAATATTAGAAGGCAATTTAAGTAATTTGGGGGTTCAATCACCTCCTCAACAGCCTGGAGAGAACTGAAAAATACAAGACAACAGAATGAAAGAACTCAGTCACACAGAGGCCGTGGCAAGTCCCAGATTTGTGTGAATTTCAACAGAACTGCTCTTTATTTATCACTTCTGTATCTTGCAGTGATATTTCATGTGAGAATGATGAGAAGAGCTCGACTAGTGGCATTGACTTTGATGGGATTTTAAAAACATCTCTATAAAAAATATTTCTCACTATAAATTTAGCTCCTTTTTCACAGGTTATGCTCCTGCCCATGAGGTTCACATCCCACCTTGTGCCACTGTCCCATCGTGCAAGGGAAGCAATGTGCCTCCCTGGTTAGCTGTGGAACTACAGCACTTCCAACAGGTATTTCTCCTCTCTGGATTGAGAGCTGAACAATATCTGTAAGGATCAATTTCACTCTTCCAGCCACATTCAAAAACGAACACAAAAATCCCAACCCCATACAAAAATTCCTGGTTGACATGGAATCACTGAGTGGTTGGGGTTGGAAGGAGCCTCTGGAGATCACCTAGTCCAAGACACAAGTTGTTCATCTATAATTCAAGTATTTTCACAGGGAGCAGAGAAGTTCCCTTGGAATGAAGAGCTGGCAGCATCCCCTCAGCAATGGTTTTAGCTGGTTTTCTTCCCCTTGTTTTTGCTTTCGTAGAAGAGCTGTATAGGATGTAAACATTTTGTCAAGGACAGACAGGTCAGGGATGTGGAGAAAGCACAGTCAGGAAGGAAGTTGAAGGGTAAACAGTAATAAATATCAAAATGAATAAAATTCATCTGTATCTATGACAAATTAAAGAGAAGGCTGGAAACTTGTTTTTAAAACCCTAAGACAGTTCACTTCAAAGGCTTCTTGATTTTTTTGAGGATGTTTTTTGCAGGAAGAACATGTTCCACTGTTAGCAGTTGCCACTGTTTCTTCTCCTTCCAGTTGCCAGAATTATAGGCACACTGGTTGTTCAGAGATAAAGTAAAGTACAGTCTAATGCAGAAAACATTTTGATTTCCCCCTAACTCCTGCAGAGGCTGCCTGGACACACAGCCTCAGTCCTCTGTCAAGAGCAGCTGCTTTCTTCTTCTGCCCATGGCCATGTGCCTTCAGATTAGACTTCCCTTTCATGAGGAGAGCCAAGCAGGCTTTTATTTTAGTATGATTTTAATCTATGCTCCTCCCACAAATTCTCAGAGGTGCCTGATATGTGAGACTGGTGACCCCTGAATCTGAGGAGCACTCTTCTGGTGGTCTGTTCTGGTGGCTCAGGATGTTGTCTCCACACTGTCCCACTGTTTCTCGAGATGTCTGTGTGTATCTTCTCACTTGAAATCCATTTTCTTACCATTTCTGGTTTATTTTTAGCTGTTGTGAAAGAGGCTCCCTTAGCTGTGTGTGCTCACCCTCCACAAAGACTAGCAAATTTCCCTTTCCCTAGCAATGTTGCACTCTCTCACTTTCCCCTTGGATTCTTTCACCTTCTTTCCCACAGTAAATCCTTCAGACCCAGTGAGATAAACACTGCCAGATGCAAGATGAAGGCAAACGTACCAAGAGGTGTTTCTTTTGTTCATTCTAAAAAATCTGTATCAGCCATGACTAAAAGAATTCTTGCAGCATATTTTATCATCAAGCTTAGTACAATAAAAAGTGCAAGAGCTTCAGCCAGGATGTGCCCATGCTGCTATCACAGCAATCACTACTATGACATGATGTCAACACCTGGTGGTGTTCAAGGCCAGGCTGGATGAGCCTTGAGCAACCTGATCTAGTGAGGAATTCCCTGCCCAGGCCAGGGAAGGTTGGGACTAGAGGATCTGTAAGGTCCATTCCCACCCTTAAATTCTATGATTCTATGTCCTGTACTTCTAGACAAAGGATTACCTTCCCCACTCACTTGGATATCTGACAGTATTAACCTACCTCCTCTGGATAACTGAGCACCAATATGCAGAAGAAATACCCTTAAGGAACCAGATATATGAGTGGTGGACAGTATTTGTTGAACACTGAGTCCTACCAAGGCATGTGCCTACCAAGGCCTGGAAAATCTCAAAGAAATCCTTCACAGTAAAAATTAACAGACTGAACTAGAGACAGCAGTGTTACATACTCATGAAGCCCTTGGCATTGAAAATTATAAAATATTTCGTTTCCTCATTTACTCTTCTGTTTGTGACCCATTTAAACCAGTGACAGGTTCAAAACCAGATCTAACTCCATGGATGCCCTGACAAAAAGTGTAAGCATTTCTATACATAACAAAACAAACATTCCAGACTATCAAGCTGTTGCTTTAAAGGAAGTGTAGATATATTTACAGTCCAGACACAAACCATTTTGCATCTGGAACAGTGTTGGAATGGCAGGGGAAACCCAGATGGAAGGAGCTTCACTCAGCTGTGCTGTTTGGCCCTTCTCACTGTTTGCTTAGCATCAGGTCCTCAAAGCCTCATGCACTACCCTCACTGTGTGTGGGCACTCAGGCAGTTTGAGAGCTTTTCCTACTTGGTGTCTTCAAGAAATGCCAACTCCTAACTCTGAATAATCATTGAACAATTAAATCAAGCCCAGCTGTGTGCATCAGATAGTCTTAATTAGCTCAGCAAAGAACGAGGCAATCCACAAGTCTAATTTCAAAACCAAACCAGTGTTTCACTGAACATCTCCTCCTCAATATAAACATGGTTTCTACATGATTTAGCTACCCACATTTTGAAAAGAAACAGTAAATGACTCCAACTAAATGGAACCAAACAAGAAACATTCATGGAGTGGAGGAAGGGCTTGCTGAATCAGTTGGGGTTTTACCTCACAAAGTAGTAAGTCAATGATGTGGAAGACCATGCAGAGTGGAAACTTGGCAGTGAAGAGAGTGAGGAACCACTGGGATGCATACATATGAGCTTCCAGATTGAGGTCTGAGAAATGGCTGTGCAGGTCTGGCAACTGCTCCTAGGGCAAAGGGAAAAAGAAATATTTCAGTATTCCTCATTAACCCACACTCTTCATCTGCACTGTCAGTAAGGCCCAGGTTGCTAAACACCAGCAAGCACAACAAAGTCAAATCCTGGCTCCTTCTGAGCAATGGAAATGTGTTTCTTGATGAATTTCAGTGCCCATGGTTACAGTTTTTGTTAAGATATCCACAGTGGATTCTATCACAGTATCAAATAACCTACTGAGATTACACTGAGAAATTACAGCATCTTCACCAGTCCAAAGGCAGAGTGGTGGTGAAATCTGTGTCAGAGTGTATATTTTCAAGTTATTCCTTTGCTGTGTCTTGCTAGAAATGCTTCTGCCACAAAAACCAATGGATGCTGGAACCAGGAGATCACTTTGCAGAGCCTGAAAGCCACAGAGCACATCACTCCTTCTGCCAGTTCCTCTAACTGGGAGCACAGATAGGCAACACAAAGCAAGCACTGAAAAGTCTACTGTACAATGATGATATACCCAGTTAATAAAGGATGTTTGTTAATAAAATTTGGGTTGTTTGCTAATAAAACTCTTTGTTAACACATGTAAATATTGAGATGAGCAAATGCCAAAGTGTCAAATTAATTAGGATGTCATTCTACTCCATCAAGTAAGAAATATGCCCAGTTTGACATCTGAAAAGAAATCATTAATTTGACAGTGTTCTGTTGGTTTGGGTTCAGTGTCTCTCACAGAGGTATGTCAGGTCACCTGTGACAAGTGCCCTCAGCAGACAGAATTCACTGTGCCAACAGAAGGGCAGAGCTTAATGAACTGGCAGCAATTAGTCAGAACAACAACCTGTAAAACTTGCAGCCCTTTAGTTATGTGAAATTGCTCAATGAAACAATTCCACCTGAAAAAAAAAAAGAGCAGTGGAGTGAAGAGACAGTAAAACTGCCAAGTGCCCTACACCTGATTGGTATTTCATAAGCATCAGGATGTCCTGATTTGCCTGACCTCTTAACCACCAACATAACTCATGGAAAGCAGGACACTGATGGGGACAGGCCAAAGGACACACTGCCCTTAAAAGCACAGACATCCTCTGTAACAATGTCAGGAAACAGGGAAGGAGTGAGCAAACAGAGAGAGGAGAGGGGAAAAACAGAGACCTGTTCTGCTTGGACACAGAGATTAGCAGCAAGATTGGTACATGCAAGACAAACTAGAAATAAATCTGACTCATGATGTTTGAACTCAGCTAGTAAACTTCCCTGCTTTGGTTCTACCCCATCTCTTAAAGCACAGGGGTTTTATTGCCCAGCAGCTTTTGGAAGCAAAGCATTATCTTCTTCATGCCAGCAGTATTTCCATTTGTGAGAGGAGAAGAATTAGTTTCTCTGGCCCCACCTGCATTAACTTCTCCAGCTGGAAGAATTTGCAATGGAGATCTTCGAAGTTATTTCTGTAGAGGTCCCTCAAGCCATAGTCATACATTATTTTCACAAATACACAGAATGCCTGTTCCTCTGGCATCTGTTTGGGAAAACACACAGAAAAAAAGGTTAAAAACAGAGCTGCAATGCCTTACACAGTCACACACACTTAAATACCTGATGCACATGAAAGAGATACATTAAAACTGTCAGCAAAGCACCCTGAATGCAGAATTAAGCAACTAACATCTCAAGGGGACTGTTCTCCTTGGTGAGCACCTGGACTTGGCTCTGTAAGGCCTTCTCTGAGGAGAATGTGGGATCATGGCATAGGTTCAGGTACATATCCATCCCTACTCAACTGTCAGCAGCATTTCTTCTGCCAGATAGGGATGAGAACAACCAGTACACAGCTCTCAGGTACAGAACAACAATTTAAAAATAAAGGGAGAAAGAAAATAAAAAGGCAACAACTCATGACAGTAATTTCTACTGAGAGAGACTTGGTTAAACAGGAAAAATTCAGGATACTGAGGTACAACCAACTCTTGGTGAGAAAAATGCTCATCTGCTTTCATCCAAACCCCAGGGCACCGAAGTCAGGTTTCCCATGATCACATCTATTAACATCCTGACTTTTTCAGAAGCTCAATCTCCATAGTTTCCATTTCATTCTGACCAAAACTCATCCAACAGAGTTTTGGAAGGTGGTACTACCACAAGCTGTGGGAGCCACTCTACACTCCCATTTGTTGGCTCGAGCCCATGGAATTGGTGGGAACCCAGTGCCATGGGACCACCCCTGAGGGTTCTCCTCTGCTTCCCCTGTGCCTTCAGGAAACTCAACAGTAAGACAGGCACAGGCAGAGTCACTGCAGACCCCAAATCAAGCTGTCAGTCACATTGAGAACAGCCTTTTATTTTGGAGGCACCAGACTGTAACAAACAAAAACAATTAGTGAGCATCAAGAATGACAACTCTTGACCTTTCAGTGTATTCACTCATTTGGCCACTTGCCAGCTCCTTATCAAACATCAGTTGCAGATAAAAGCTTGGTATTTTCTTCAAAGAGAATTTTAGTCTCTTGATATCTACCTCCAGGGTCTCAGCTCTCATGCTCGGCCTGTGATTATGGCCTGTCTCCAGGGCCATGGGCTGAAGCTTTCATTTTCATTTTCAGACATCATCAAGTTAGCATAAAGCACTGCCAGCTCAGCTGCTGCTGACCAGGCCAGGCCTGATTCACCTAGGACAAGTTCTTAGCAATCTCAAAGCTCTTAATCACGACCTTATCTGGCTGGAATGATCCCCACTGACAGCAGATAAAAGCTGCAGACAAAGTCAAGGGAAGAACTCCTGACCAAAAGGTTTGAATCTGCTCTGTAAGATGATAACTGCAAATTTCAGGGGTTTTGGTAAGAAACAATTACTTCTAGGGAATTATTTTCTCATGCACAAGCACACCTACCTTGCATGCTCAATCATCGTGCACTGACCACTGTTCCTCCCCCAAGACAGGGAGAGCCAACAGAGGTCAGGACTAGGCCAAACAGGTCCCCAAGTCCTTGCTCTCAGTGGGCAGAGGTTCTCCAGTATTACCAACCCAAATAATTCAACATCATCCATCAAGTTTTCATTTTTTATTCCATTTAAGCAGAATACAAACTTTGGGCATTCTTATTCTGATATTTGCCTGTTGTTGTCTTTTCTTTAAAATCACAAAAGCCAGAAATGTACTATTTTTTTTAAATGAAATTTTAGGTTGTTTTTTTTTTTTTCACAGAGCAATGACTCTGGAAAGTAGCCAGCAAGAAAAAAAAAAGGTCAAATACTGTGAGATTCATAGGAATATGATCAGAGTTGGCAACACTGTCCCCCTGTGATTAGAAGTTAACTGCTCACCCTTGATGGGAATTTCAGCAAAGCAGCAAAATCACAAGAACTGAGGAGGGAGGTTCAGGCTCCCCAACCACCCCTGAAAGGTATCTACACTGAAGAGAAAGGATTTCCTGTCCCAGGAAAAAAAGGGGAAAGGGCTAGAAATCCATGCAAAGATAGGAGAGTTAGAGAGGGTCTTACAAGCATTCACAGCATACAGATTGGCTGGAGGATTTGAGAAAAACAGGAGTTGGAGGACATCCTGGGAAGCTCCCAACTTACATGAGCTCACTGAGACTGCTTCCCTTCCCCCCTTTCTCTGAGTATTTCACTTTACCATCCTATTACAAAAGCAAACGTTACAAAGGGCATATTAAAACGAGTGTAATTTCCACTGAGCATTCCCTGTGTACAGGGCAATTTCTTCTGACTCCAGGAGCACTAGAAACAGGGGATTCTCTGCAGTGATGAGAGCACAGAGCTAAGGGAGAGGAGCTGAGGCATTAGGCAAACGCCAAGAACATGACACCCACACATTCCTAAACACCTCTGGTGTTGGAAAGGGCTTATTCCTCCAGTGGAACTTCAGGATCCTGCTTTAGGTAAGAAGTTAATTGCAAAACGACTGTTAGATAAGCCAATTTGCAGTGTATGTGGGATTGCAATCATGGAACTAAGTCAGGTTTATCCTTAAAGGATCTAAAGCTGCTCTCTCTCACTCTCACTGCTATCATGCTCCTTAGGGCTTCAAGGAGTCATGGATCTCACTAGGAGTGACAATTGAAATCAGAGAGTTTCAGCTCCCAATGCCTTGGGAAGTGTATGTGGAACACACAAACCACCAACAGCTAATTCAAACCCACCACCCAAAACGTGTTTCCATCATGATTAATAATTTACTCATTAAAATCTGACAGAAAAAGGAGACAAGAGGCTGAGTTAGAGCTGTGCTTGGGGTCAGGGGTGGTTTATTCAGCTATACTTTATCTGAATAAATACTCTGCTTGAATCTGCTGCTTTTCCACTGAGACATCACAGATAAAGCATCTTGCAACTATAAAAATGGTGTATTTATTCATCTATCTCCAGACATACACTTATGTGTTTATAAAGGAAGCAACAGATCAAAGTTTGTACAGTTTTTGGTTACAGGCTAAACTATCAAGGTTAAAATTCAGCTTTCACTCATAAGATATTATAGAATGTCCTCAGGAGAAAAAGTCTCAGTAAAAATTAATGAGACTTCTTGCTCTGCTGAGCTACTGTGAGAATGGCTCCCAGAGTTAAATTCCCCATAAACACAAAGGGAGTTCACCTACATGACAACTGAATTAAAAGAAAATATTAATATGTAACAAATCAGTTTCAGCCTTTGACACAGAACTGCTTGACAATTTAATGGATTTCTCCCAGATAAAGGCAATGTACATTCACCAAGATAAGCCATTAGTCACTATTGCCAAAAAAGCATCAAGAGGAAAATGAATAGAGACAAATAAACAACAGTAAATATCTGTCAAACAGCAAAGCTGCAGCACCACTGATTTTACAGCTGCTTTGGTTTCAAATATCAAAGCCTTCATTTAGCAATTAACTCACATGAAGTAGAAGCACAGCTGCAAGGAAAGACTGTCCCTGGCAGTAGCCAATGTCCTCATCATACACAGAGTAGGCCTAGGGAAAAGAAAAGTCAAAATGTATTTGAAAGGCACAAAGGGTTTGCAAAGTGGGTTCCAATCAGGGAGCTAGTTGGGGTGTTGCAGGGTATTTCCTTCCAGGATCTGAAGGGGCCTACAAGGAACCACAGAATCATAGGATTTAAGGGTTGGAATGGACCTGACAGATCATCCACCCCCAACTTTTACTCACATCCAACCTAGACTTTTCCTCCTTCAGTCTGAACCCATTTCCCCTTGTCCTAACATTGCAGTTCCTAACTGGCTCTCTGGCTCCTTGTAGCCCCTTCAGAGAGTGAAAAGTTGCTCTGAGGTCTCTACACAACCTTCTCTTCTCCAGGCTGAACAGCCCCAGCTCCCTCAGCCTGTGCTCACAGGGAGATGCTCCAGTGCTCTCAGCAACTTTGTGGCCTCCTCTGGGAGAGAGTTTGAGCTCTGCACCTCCTTTAGTTGTGGCAGCACTATATATATCACAAATGGTTAAAGTATTTTCTTTTTTAAGCAGAAAAAATAATGAAAGTAAAAAAAACCCCACTTACAATTTGCCTGCCAACTGGTTTGGGTTGTTGTTCTCTTCCCAATGCCTAATGAAGGTCATTTATTTAGTGCTTTTGAAACAGGTATTTTCATTATGAATGGAACACTTCAAACTGCAAAGTGAAATGTCAAAACAGCCCCAACTCCCTCAGCCTGTCCTCACAGGGAGATGCTCCAGTGCTCTTAGCAACTTCGTGGCCTCCTCTGGATTTGCTCCAACAGTTCCATGTCCTCCTTACACTGAGGACACCAGAGCTGTGTGCAGGATTCCAGGTGGATCTCTCAAAAGCAGAGGGGAAGAATCACCTCCTTTGACCTGCTGCCCACACTCCTTTTGAAGCCAGAGAGGAATGATTCCTCAGGAATTATAGTGATGGGACACAGGGAATGGCTTCACACTGACAGAGAGTGGGGTTAGATGTTAGGAAATCCTTCCCTGTGAGGTGCTGAGGCTCTGGC